AGGGCTCTAAGATTTAGGGTTTAGGGTTTAGGGCTCTAAGACCTAGGGTTTAGGGTTTAGGGCCTTGAGATTTAGGATTTCGGGTTTAGGGCTCTAAGCTTCAGGGTTTAGGGTTTAGGGCTCTAGGGGTTTAGGGCTCTACTTGGAGGTTCTTGGGTAGTTATAAATAGAGTTATATGTAGAGTAACTGTACTTTTAACCCATATTAGGGGATTTATAGCCCTACTTCTAACTACCCATGAACCTCCAAGTACGGCTTAGGGTTTAGTGGGTTTAGGGTCTTAAAGTTTAGGGTTTAACGGTTTTGGGGCTTGGGGCTTAGGGTTCTAGGGTGTAGGGTTTTAGAGTTTAGGGTTTAGGGTAAGCTCCCCAAGGTCTACATGTAGTACAAAAACCTAGTCCCTGGAGGGATTAGACAGTAATATCCGGCTCCGACCCTACCCCTGTTTTAGGATACCGAGTTTTATTGTTAGGATCTGATGTCTAGAATATTCGATACCTTAAAAAAGGGGTAAGGTCATATCCGGCTTTATAAGAAAGCCTCGTATGTAGGCAGGGTTTCGGAACCAACAAATGGATTCGGATTCTCATAGGAACCCTGTAAGAAGAAAGGGGGGGGCCTGAATGCCCATAAGAAGGAGCTCATGAGGGCCACAGGTAAGATAAAACCACCCAAAAGGCCCCTATATTATAGTACCCTTATAGTATCCCTTATAGTGACCCTTCTAGACCCCTTTAAAGGAACCCTAGGAACCTTACAGGTAATTACTAAGCCCCGGATAAAACCTCCGATAAGGCGAGATGGAGCACCGATATCCGCAGTGATGAGGGCTTCGCCGATGAAGAGGTCGTACGGATCCGTGTCACCTTACCGAGTTTTAGGGCTTTAGGGCGTTATACGGTTTAGGGGTCTAGGCTTCGGGTTTAGGTTTTGAGGTTCCTTTAAGGGATCTATAGGGCTCCTTTCGGGACCTATAGGATTTACGGTTTAGGGGTTTAGGTTTCGGGGGCTTAGGGGCTTAGGGTGTAGGCGGTGGGAGAGTGAATCCCGTATAACCTTCTTATAGGATCCTTAAGGGGGGGTGGTTCAAGGGGGGAGGGTACTAGGGAGCTTTGGGGAACCTTAGGGAAGCTTAGGGAGTATTGGGGAATAATGGGGATTACTAGGTTACCTACCCCCTTGGACCACCCCCCCTTAAGGACATCCTAACCTTCCATAGAAGCAATCCCCTATCCCAGTCTTTCGGTTGATCATATAAATCCTGCATTACCCATAATAAGGAATGTACCGTAATTCCCGTAGTTTAGGGTCCTTAAGGTAATGCAGGATTTATATCATCAACAGTTGTATTCCTTCCCCCACGGTTCCTTAAACACAAGCAGGTCACTGTCCTCGAAGAGCTTGCTGGCCAGAATGACGGACATCGTGAATAAGTATCGAGATCCCTCTTCATCCAAGGCCCAAGGATAAGGGACATCGTTGTTGCCCACAGGTGAGAAGAACTTTGTGATAGGTGACTTTGCAGTAAAAGAAAAGACCTGCTCGCCTACAAAGACATACTTCAAGCCCTCCAAGTGCAACAGCATGGAGTTACCGTCGAATTTGGCCCCATGCTCTGGAGAATGACCTACGAAGACCTTCTCCGCAGAAATAGACTTAGAGGCCGTCTCTTCATAGGTTACCTCTTCCTCACCTCCCTCTCCATCTCCCGGGCCCCCGCCACCGAAAAACTGTGATAGATCGAGGTCTCCCAGCTGGACAGTTACCGGCCCGCCCAATTGCTCTGCGAGCTCCCCCGCCGACTTCACCGACACCGTGTAACCAGAGCCGGCCTTTGCCTTGTTGCCGTCCTGCGTCGCATTGTGATTTCTGTGAGGCTTACCGCTGCTTCTGCTCCTCGTCTTGCTGCTATAGCAACAACAGCAACAGCAACAAAACTTGCTCTTACTCCTCCTCCTCCTCCTCCTCCTCCTCCTCCTCCTCCTCCTCCTACTACTACTACTACAACTACTCCTCCTCCTCCTCCTTCTCCTCCTGCTGCTGCTGCTCCTGCTACTGCTCCTGCTACTGCTACTGCTACGGCTTCGGCTACGGCTACTGCTACTGCTAGTGCTACTGCTAGTGCTACTACATGTTCTGATGCTTCTACTGCTACTGCTACTGCTACTGCTACAGCTACAGCTAATCCTACTCCTCCTACTGCTACTCCTACTGCTACTACTACTACTACTACTACTACTTCTACTACTACTGCTACTCCTACTGCTACTACTGCTACTACTGCTACTACTGCTACTACTGCTACTACTGCTACTACTGCTACTACTACTACTACTACTACTACTGCTACTACTACTACTACTACTACTACTACTACTACTACTACTACTACTACTACTACTACTACTACTACTACTACTACTACTACTACTACTACTACTACTACTACTACTACTACTACTACTACTACTACTACTACTACTACTACTACTACTACTACTACTACTACTACTACTACTACTACTACTACTACTACTACTACTACTACTAACTATTGTTGCACTTACTACTAGTATTGTTACAGCTACCTGACAAATACTACTGCTCCGTCTACAACTACTACTGTGACTACGACTACTGCGACTTTTGTGGCTACGACTACGGACTACCACAGCGACCACGGCGACCACGACGACCACTACCACTGCTACAAGTTTGACGACTGCGACTCAAACTATGTGCACGACAAGTGCAGCAGCATCAGGAGGAGCAGCGGTGGTAGTGGTAGTGGCAGTGGTAGCGGTGGCGGTAGCGGCGGCGGTGGCGGCGTCGGTTTCGGACTGTTTCGAGTCCTTGTTTCCCTTGTCGTCCTCGTCCTCATCCTCGTCCTCGTCCTCGGCGTCACTGTCCTCCTCCTGAATCGCCTTGAAAATCTTCACCTGGCTTCTTGTTGAGGAAAGCTGAATTCAAGTAACTAGAACAGGGCAGAATAGCAAACGACACCAGACATATGGCAACTCAAACTAAATTCCTTAGCACCCGAATAGTACAGCCCCTCTACACGAGACGGTAAAAACCCAAACCACCCTTGAACCAAGTCATCCTACCTCACACTTCAATTAGTCCCGCATGGCACCCCATAAGACCCTGAGCACCCTTAACCCCTAAAGCCCTGATGTAGGGGCCTTCACAGTTAGAATAGGTTTTTGGGGCCCAGTATACTATACCCTCTCTGTATCTTTGAAAAGGAACTCTAGGAATAATATAGGTAATTATTTAGGCCCCTATGTCAGGCCCTATGTTAAGCCCTTAAGCAAGAGCCATGTCACTTCGGCTTTCGCTCCGGGCCACTGCACTTCCACCTTAAACGGGCGGCCGCCGTTGTCGTGAACGTGGTAGGTACCTTCTGGCTTTCCATCTGCACCTTGGGTTTAAGTTTTTTGTTGAGCTCCTTCTTTTGCTTTAAATAGTTTATATAGGGCTTAGTGTTTCTGATTCATAGGGAGGGGTTCAGGGTTCAGGGTTTAGGGTTGTAGGATTTTTCGGCTAAGGGCTTAGGGTTTACAGTACAGGGGGTTAAGGTTTATGGTTTCTGATTTATGGAGGTTTCAGGTTGGGGGGCTGGCTTTCCATCTGCACCTTGGATTGGGAGTTATAGGGGTTTAGGGGGTTGGGGGTTTCGTGCTTTTTATCGTTCCAGGTCTTGCTTTTGAAGAGAGGTTACAGGGTTTAGTATTCATCACGGGTGTATTCAAGGGTAGAAGGAGGGACCTTTAATGAGGGCCCCTAGGTATATACTGTTATATATACCATTATATAGCCCATTATAGGGTAGGGGTCCCCATTAAGGGTCCCTCCTTTTCCCCTTTGAGTATAGGATTATAGGTTTGGGATTTGTAGGGTTTGGGGGTCATCGGGTTTGGAGCTTATACTTCTTGCTTTAGACCCTGGTGTTACGACCTTTGGGGTGTAGGGGTTTGATATGGTTTGAGCTTCATGATTTAGGTTGTTTAAGATTCAGGGGATATATGGTTTGGCATCTACATGGAGAGCAGCGATGCTCCTCTGCCACGGCTACTGTCGGCACGACGGCTTTCCGCACCAAACCCCGGGAACAATCACGTATGCACCCTCCAGAATGTACAACCCCCTAGACCCTAAACCCCGCTAGAACTCCCGAACGCAATCCCGCTGTATAGCTCAGGCGCTGGGGGCTGCTGCAGATTTCTTCGGAGCCGGTTCCTCCGCCGCCTCTTCTGCTGGTCGCTTCATGTTGCACGGAGCGCCAACGAGACCGGCGATTGAGCCCGAAATGCTGAAGGCAAATGAGGCTATGTGCAAGTCTGTCTCGGCACAATGACAGCCAGACACGAAGGATACTAGGTAGGCCCTCTAAACCCTCTGAAAAATTTTCGTAAATAGGTTCCAATTCAGCCCAATAAAGGAAAATATAAAATATCCCAAAGGCTTACCTGGGATAATATTCAGAAAAAGCGATCCCGAGAGGTTCATTGGAGCCAGCCACGCTGGTTCTGGGCTAGGCTTGCTCGGGGATCCTTTTTGGCAAGCCATTCTCGCCTTGAGGTTCTGGGGTCTAGAGTCTGGGGAAAGTATAACGTAGACCCTGGTTTTTGTGTCAAGGCTCTATCTGCTCCCAGCTATGATCCTTATTCTAGGCGAGGGGGTTATTCATAAGGTGTTATTCCTGAGGGTTCCTGCTCATAACTAACGCATAACATACCCCAACACCCTGTCAACAATGTTTTAAGGGTCCCACATTATCTCGCAACGAATCCACAAAGCCAAAGAAAGAGCCTTGACCCTAAGCCCTGAATGAGCCTTCCTAAACCCTAAACTCTTTAACGACCTAGCTAAGCCCTAAGCCCTAACCGAGCCAAGACTGAACCCTAAACCCCTAAACCCCTAAACCCCCAAACCCTAAACCCCTAAACCCCTAAACCCCTAAACCCGAAACTCCTAAACCCTGGGGGTCCCCGACTGTCGATGGAGCAAGGCCAGCAATGAGAGCATCTCCGTTGCTCGGGCAGTGACCTTTCGCTCGTGCAGTTTACGGTTTCGCGTTTGTTGGGATTCGCGTCGTTTAGGGTATAGGGCACTTCGGTTTAGGGTTTAGGGTTTAGCGCTTGTTGGGATTCGCGTCCTTTAGGGTATAGGGCACTTTTGTTTAGGGTTTAGGGCTTAGCGATTGTTGGGATTCGCGTCCTTTAGGGTATAGGGCACTTAGGTTTAGGGTTTAGGGTTTAGCGTTTGTTGGGATTCGCGTCGTTTAGGGTATAGGGCACTTCGGTTTGGGGTTTAGGGTATTCGCGTCCTTTCGGGTCTAGGGCACTTCGGTTTAGGGTTTAGGGTTTAGCGTTTGTTGGGATTCACGTCCTTATTTAGGGTATAGGGCACTTCGGTTTAGGGTTTAGGGTTTAGCGTTTGTTGGGATTCGCATCCTTTAGGGTATAGCCCAAAGGCTCCATGTACCCATATAGCAGGTACTTAGGCCTTAAAGGGGTCCCTAAATAGGTACTTTAAGGCCTAAGTACCTACTATATGGGCAAATGGAGCCTTAGGGTATAGGGCACTTTTTCGTTGGGATTTGTGCTTTCTGGCCATTTGGCACCTGTGCTGAAAATGCTTGTTTCCAAGGGTAAAAGAAGGGACCCTTAATAAGGACCCCTAGGTATATAGCCATTATAGGGTAGGGGTCCCCATTAAGGGTCCCCTTTGATTATTTGAATTCAGCTTGTTCTCAGGGTCTACAGTCGGGCATGGCTAGGGTTTCGGCAACTCGCTGTCGTGGTCTTCTTGTTGACCTCTTCTTGGGGTTTACAAGACAACTTGACGGCACGCGAAGTAGTCGATAACCAGATGTTGTTGTAAGGGTGTTTAGACAGGGCTCCTTGAGGTTCATGGACGACCTCAAGCGCAATATCGCAGTTACCCTACTTCTAGCTCCAGTTCAACAATGAACAAACGAACCCTAAACCATAAACCCCGGAAGCCGTTGTGAACTCTATACTGAAACCTGAGCCCCGTAAGTACACGAAGCCTCGTAAGCGAGGTCAGGGTCTCTATTACGAAAAAGTCCCTGTTTAGGTGGAATACGGAATCAGGCCCCTGTTATACTTTGGCCCTGAAGCTATAGTGAAAGGACCCCATGAAGGCCAAGATATAAAGCGAAAAAAGGAAGAAGGGTCCCCAACAGCTTCACAGTCCTAACCCCTGAATCACACACCCCAAACCCCAAACCCCTGAACCCTAAACCACACGCCCTAAGACCCGCATTACCCTAACATCAAGGACGGCCCTAAGGGGTCCTTTAAGCGTCTATAAGGCTCCTTGAATGGATCCGTTAAGCTTATAGACGTATAGACCCTGAGTACCCCAGCCCCAACAAGGGACTAACCTTGTTGAATGATACTAGGATTATATGGGAGTTTCCGAACATAGGGGACCCTAACATAGTACCCTAAATAGTAGGATCCTTATTATAGGGACCCCAAAATAAGGTACCCCCACTTTTCGGAAACCCCCAAAAGAGCCCCGAAAGGTTGTAAAGTTTACCTACTCACCCCCTAAGTAAGGGGCCATATTGCACCTTGAAGGGCTCCTATAGGGTTCTAGAAGAGCCTAAGACAGACGGTTGATGATCTAAATCCTGCATTACCTGAAGGACCCTAGACTACGGGGATGATGGTATATTCCTTCTTATGTGTGATGCACGATATACATATATATATATATATATCATCATCAACCGGAGTCAGCATGGAGCCCAAACCCCGTAAGCCCTTAAAACCCTCGGCCTTCAACACAGACTGAAGTGTTCGCCGGGCCTCGCACTTTCGGGGTCCGGGGAAGACCACGGCAGATGATGTGGCGTTTGTGGAGAGATCATTCTATGGTTCTAAATGGGTAGTTGTCAAAATTAAGGTCCCTTTTGGGGTGCCCTAAATGCCCTAAATATTAGGTGCCGTATTACAATAAGGACCCAGAAAAGGACCCTAAGTTTGATAACCACCCAAATGGAGTTCATAGGGCTTTCTTGGCGGGTGTAGTTGGACTTGGTAGGGGCTATGCCTTCAACCGCAAACCGGTTTGATAAGGGTTTTTGTGGGGTCTTTTCAAGGCTTCGGGCCTAGAGCTTGACGGCTCAGTACGTTTGGGCCTAAACTTTTTGAAGACGGAGCTTTTGTTGTGTACTCTGGTAAACTGACATAACTGTTCAGAATGAGCCGCAGGGATTAATTTTCGCGATTACTCGCCCGATACTTCCCGAAACAGGAGGTCTTCTGGTCCTGAACTGGCATGTCGCCGGCAACACCATAAAACTCAGAGCTTTCAGGGGCTGTGTACCCTAGCCCAGAAAAGGTTGACCTTTAAATTGTAATAGGATGATATAAGCCTCAACGGTTAAAGGTTACAGGTGTCATAGGCAACAAGAAGGTGCCATACAGGGCAGTTGGGGGGTCTAAGTAAAAACCGTAAGCAGGTATTCTGGTGTCCGTGAACATTCATGGGTAGTTATGATCATGACATTACGTAGGTTGACTGAGCTTAGTTTTAGTGCGCGTAGTTGCCTCAACAAAAGCCTAGGCTTGCTAAGTCGTTGACACCAAGACACCATCATTCAAACCTCATCGAATCCTTACAATCTGACGCAGGCTATTAAGGCCAACCTACTAAGTCACGTGATCCATAAACTACCCTTATCAAACCCTGACGAAACAAGTACACGTTAAAGCACCTAAACCTTGAATTTACAGATTCCTTATAGGAACCGCCTGAGCTGCAGCTTCATCGCCCGTACCCCGCTGAGTGTAGAGGCGGAACCTGCGCAAAGCATTTCAGGCTAAAGTTTAGCTCTATATTAGGGCCTGCTGCTTTCTAAAGCCTTACCTAGAGGGTCCGAGTACTCCCTATTACAGGACTTTAGGGGCTTTTTAGGTACCAAAAACCCTAAATAAGGACTACTTGGACTATTAGGGTTGCAACAGCCCAATAATAAGGGTCCCAAACAATCCAATGAAAGTCGATGCCCAACGGCCGGGCGCACACACCCACTCACTCTCGCAGCTGCATGCCTATAATGCAGAGGTGGCGTTGTGACTGCAAGGTGACAAAAAAAACCCACAGCCGAAACTCTCCGGAGATTCCGTGCACAAGCCAACCAGAACCGTACAAGGAACCCAAAAAGACCCCTGTACGAACCCAAAATACACCAAAAGTACCCTTTAAAAACACCTTAGAAGATCCATGAAAGAGCCCCCCAAAAACGAAGCCAAGAGGACCCGACAAGACCCCTGAAAGAACCTTTAGCAACAGACCCCTACAACGAACCCTATATACCCCAAAAGAACCCTACAAGCTCGCAGAGAGAGCCCTTTACTTACCTTTGGCTAGTAGGGAATGGAAGAATGGTAGTAATAGTAGTTATAATTGTACCCCATTCCTCCATTCCCTACAGTGAAAATACTGTAGAAGAACCCACTGTTTAAGAACCTGAGCCCCTACCCAAGGCGGAATGCACCAGATTCAAGTTGCCTCAATATTAAGAACCTTAGGGTACCCTAGTTTTCGGGTCAGGTTCTTAATTTTTTGGGTGTTTTCCCTCACCAAGGAAATTTAGAATCGAAAACTAAATTTCCCAACCTTCCACATCAAGAAATCTTGTGCCTAAACATGGTGATTGTATTATCGATGGGCAACAGCAATCATGCCACAGCGCGGTGGTTGTGCATGGGTTCTGGAGGCAAAGGTACGTGTTTCGATCTGCAAGGGCGCCAGAATTGTAAAATTTGGAATTGAATTCTAAATTTCCCAAGCCTCCTGGAGACTACCGTCTAGAGTGCTGTGCTTCCGCGCAATAGCAACAGTAGCGAGTACTATTTACTACAGCAACAGCACTGTTTAAGAAACCATTAGATTAAGAAAATGAGACTCTGGATTTTGCGATTGATAGGGTTCTACATGAAATTTCAAGCACTTGCCGCCAAAACGTGGAAATTTAGAATTGGAATCTAAATTTTCTACACCAGCCCCTTCCTGGCCCTGTGGCCTCTGACCCACACAAACGGCGTCAGGAAATTTAGAATTGAAATCTAAATTTTCCCACCAGCGTCCTGGTGCCGGCCCAAGCCACTGGCCCATGGCCCATCCGATGCCCTCTGCCCCGAGTCGTTTCGAGGAGCTGTGGAAATTTAGAATTGAGAACTAAATTTTTCAGACCCCCATGGCCCATCCGCCCCCACGGAAATTTAGAATCCAAAAGTAAATTTTCGGCGGGTCTCTGGCCATGCCCTCTGCCCGGAGTCCTTTCGAGGAGCTGTGGAAATTTAGAATTGAAAACTAAATTTTCCAGACCCCCATGGCCCATCCACCCCCAAGAGGAAATTTAGAATCCAAAAGTAAATTTCCCGAGACCTCGGTCCGGATAAGAACGTGGTTAAGAACCTGAGCCTACCCTACCTGCTCGAACGACAAAATCACATGTAATGGAAATTAAGAACCTTAGGGTACCCTACTCTCGCCGAACGGGGTTCTTATACAGGGTTTTCACTGTACTAACCAAAGGTACATTTACAGCCCTAAACCCTAAACCCTAGACCCTAGACCCTAAACCGTAAACCCTAAACCCTAGACCCTAGACCCTAGACCCTAAACCGTAAACCCTAGACCCTAGACCCTAAACCGTAAACCCTAAACCCTAGACCCTAAATCCTAAACCCTAAACGACAACCCCCAAGAAGGAAAGCCAAGAGGAGCCGATGCCTCGATGCAGAGCTGGCGGGCACCGTGCACTCCTGAGAAGATCCCACCTCGAAGATGGCAGGGGAAAGAATCTAGGGGCCTTAATAACTAGTATATATAGGGTTCCTTTAAAAGGTTTCTTTAAAGGGTTCCGTAAATCTAGGGCCCTTAAGTATAATGAGTAGAAGGATCCTTTAAACCTTAAAGGGTTCTATATAAGGCATCTAGCCATAATAATTAGTATAGGGTTCCTTTCAAGGGTTCCATAAGGCATCTATCGAAGGGTTCTATATAGGGGCCTTGATAAGTAGAAGAAGGTTTTGTGGTATATCATACTTTAGTCAAAGCAAGGGACCCCCAAAATAGTATGGGTAGTGAAAGGCCCCAGTAGTATGGATCTAGGGTTCAAGATGGTTTCGGGGCTTCGGGTTTATAGGGTGCAGGGTTTGGGGCTTCTAGGATTTTTGGGCTTGGGCGGCTAGTTATTCAGAAGCTTCAGAACTTTTTTAAAGCTTTTGCAGGGCTTCTTTAAGAGATTTCATAGGGGTTCACAGGTCTCAAAGATTCACAGGGGTTTCACAGGGGTCTTATCGGGCTATACAGGGTTAGGGCGGTTATAGGGCTTTGTACGGGTCTCACAAAGGATTGGTTGTTGGCGTCTGCGGGCTTTTCACTTCGGGTGTCAGGAAGGTTTCTAACGGTTCTACAAGGGCTGCATAAAGGCTTAGTGAAGATCCACGCTGTGTTTTCAGGCGTCATCCTACAGAGACTCCTCAGAACACCTCTCCTCCTCTTGCTCATTTAGGCTTGAAGGACTTGTAGCACTCTGCAGGGGAATAGGAAGCAGAAGACGCGTCGCTCCCAAACGTCGTTGGCGCCTTCAGACCTACCTGACAGATACCGCTGGTGTGGTGACTATGGTCTTCCCAACAGCGCCTCGGCCCCGACTTGCAGACAAAGCGTAGCGAAGGGTGGCAAGAGAGCCCGCTGCTGCTACATGAGTATGGCAAGGCTGCTGCATAGAATGCTTCCCAGATCCTGAGCTGGGACTTGAAGCAGAAAAACTTCCGGTCGCCCGGGCGGTTTGACCCTTCCGTTGTTGGCATCCTGGGAAGGCTCATCTCCCCATCTCGGGCACAAGTTCATGACTCTGAGTGAGCCTGCCTTGGCGCTGTAGCACGGGTACCGTGATGTCACGATGTCCGGGATGGCCTCCCTTTCATAATAAGGTTTTATAGGGGATTGAAGATTATTTTCTTACAATAAGTAGTGTTTAGGGGTAGGACACTCGCGCACGGAGTGTGACCAAGAAAGACTGCACGCAAAAAAACATACAGCACCAACACCCAGCACCCCAAATCCCAAGCGTCGCAAACCCAAAGCTTGGGAATCGCAGCGTTGCACAGATCTAAACCTTAAATGCTAAACCACTCTTTGAGGCGTGAGCTTTGTTTCCAAGGGTAAAAGGAGGGACCCTTCATAAGGACCCCTGGGTATATACCCTTGATATAGCCATTATATACCCATTATATAGCCCATTATAGGGTAGGGGTCCCGATTAAGGGTCCCTCCTTTTCCCCTAAACCCCCTAAACCCCCAAACCCCTAAACCCTATACCCTTATAGAATCCCTATAGATCCCTTTAAAAGGGTCCCTCCTTTTCCCCTTTCGAGCTTGCGGGCTTCGGACTTTACGGCTTCGGGCTTTGGGTTTTGGGAGCTTCCGGGGCTTTGATTTGGGCTCCTGTTGGGCGTAGATAGGATTCATGATTTGGTTTAGGGTTTAGGGTTTAGGGTTTAGGGTTTAGGGTTTAGGGTTCTATAATAAGGCATCTATCGTAGGGTTCTGGATAGGGGCCTTGATAATTAGACTAGGGTTTTAGCGTATATTATATTTTACCCATAATGAGCCCCCCACACACACACACAATAGTATTGGCAATTAACTATTTCGGCCCCTATATTATATGATCCACAATCTTACATCAGCTGTGCTCCTCTCAGAAAATCAAACTCTGACTTTGGGATCAATCAACAGTTGCCACAAGCAACCTGGAGGTATTGCCCTAAACCCTGCAATCCCAAACTCCAAAACTTACGTAAGGCCCAAACCCACCCTACTCCCCCAACCCATGAAAACTCTTCACAAGCCTTTGCAGAAGCCCCAAAAAAGAAAGGAGCCCTTGGCTTCCCGAGCCCTTGGAGGAAGCCCGAAACAGGAGCTTCCGAAAATAGGGGACCCCAATACAGTACCCTAAATGGTAACGTAGTGCCTTGGCTTTAAGCCCCTGCTGCGCGAAATCCAGCGCAGGTCTCAGGCGGGCCAGCCTTGATAGTGATTTCGACTACGGAAGGCGTTTCTGCTTCTCTCAAACTGCCATGTGTGCCTCTTGATTTTCCGGATTCTTAGCAGCACAAGCGGCCCCTTTAAGTGAAGGCTCAGGGTCTAGGACTGGATGCAAAACCCTGGTGGATAACTCCCCACCATCACCTCAAGAGGGGATTATAATACGATCCGAACGTTAAGTACCTCCAAGAGACAGGGTGTACCCATCAGGGGTCTACACTATTCTGTTGTCTTCTGTTGTATTGTCAGATTTGGCTTCAACAGGGCTCCATGGGGTGCTGAGCCAGTTTCAAAGGGCTTCTGTACTAGGACTAGAGCTTTCAGGTTTAACCTTCACTCGAAATTTTTGGGCTTCCTGAATATGAGTGCCGTAGACAGACAGCTGCTTGAAAGGATAAGTCTTTGTCTAGGTTCCACAGTAGCGCCTCTATAATCAGGGCACCCTTGTTCCTACTTTTCTGTTTTAATAAGGAGGCCACAAAATAGAAAGGGCTAAAGGGTACTACTCAGGAACCTAGTTGTGGGTTTCAGGTAGAAGGGCCCCAAAAAAGCACATAAGCAACAAATAGGATAGGGATATCCGAAACTCCCTTATCATGAAGCCCAATAAGGTAGGGATATCCCTATAAAATGCTTATGCCTATGTCCTTTTGGGGTGCCTAAGGTAGGGATTGGTGTGTGGGTGGGGGTTCTACTATAGAGCCCCTGTGAAACCCCTTAAACCTGCTAATTGATAATTCATATGCCTCTACCCTTGTAGAACCCTTTAAAAGGAACCCTTAGGACCTGAGGGTTCCTTAGGTATTCTCTACTTGGAGGGTCGGGGGACTTAGTAACTGGTTATTTTAGGGACTTAGAAGTACCATAACCCCAATTAGGGTCCCTTTTAGGGTACTTAGAAGTCTACTTACTAACTACTTACTAAGCCCCCCGACCCCTAAACCCTAAACCCTATACTACCCTTATAGAGCCCTTTAAAGGAACCCTTAGAATCCCCGTTAAAGGAGCCCTTACTAAGTCCCCTAAAGACCCCCCCAAGTAGGTATTCTTTAGGCCCCCAAACGTACTTAAAGGCTCATGGGACTTAGTAAGTAAGGTTATAAGTAGGTTATAATTAGGATAACCCCACTTAGGGGACTTATAACCCCAATTATAACCTACTTAGTAAGTCCCATGATCCTTCAAGTAGGGTGGTGCCGAGCGGATCTTTCCGAGGCCCCCGCAGTCGCTGAACCGCGTCTTCAGGGATGCCAAGGCCTCTGGGAGGATCCCAAAAAAGCGTTTAAGGGGTCCCATGGGGTTTAGGGCTTAAGGGTTTAGTGTTTAGGGTTTAAGGGTTTAGTGTTTAGGGTTTAAGGGCTTAGTGTGTAGGGTTCACCCCCTAATTAGGGCATATACCTTAAGTTATACAGGCCTTAGTATTATGGTTTAAAGTATATTCCTTAATTTAAGGGTATTGGGATCTCTGGGTGGGAGGGCTTAGGGTTTATAGGGTCTTGCAAGGCTTTTAGGGCCCATAGGGCTTTACATGGCCTTTAGGGGTCATAGGATTTACAAGACCGCTCTGCAAACCCTTATGCCCAACTAGACAAGTAGATGGCACACCTCGAGCCCAAGCCCAAACCTGAACCCCGGACTTAAGGAAATCCACCCATGTTCCATTTGTAGATTCACAATGACGCCAAATGCGAATAAGGGTTCCAGGCCAGAGCAAAGATACATATAGACGCGGCCAGCATCGTGACATGCGATAAAAAGAACCAGTCCAGAATCACCAGAAAACAGCCTACTATTTGCTTGAGAAACACCCAAAAATAAAAATAATAATCCCTATATTACCCCATAAGGAATATATTTTTGATTTTTTGGGGGTTCTTAAGCAAATAGTAGCAACTCATCCGGCTCCTGTCAGACTTAGCCACGGTCAGGCAGACGCGGGCGGCCCCGCTTCTTAAACCCGAGTCCCCTCTCATCCCAAATTTCTGCAGCCCAAGCCTTTGGTGCAAAATCAAAATTTCGGGGCCAACGGTCGCCTCAAGTTGAGCCCAGCAAATCAGAATTCCAGGAGGTGTGGGCCCATAGGGCTTGAAGCTATATTTCTCTCTATCTATCTACCAACCAGCCATCCATCCATCGAGCTGCGCTTCTTGAAGGCGTTGCACAGGGCTAAGGGCTAATTATAGCACTTACAGGGCTTATAGAGCTCATACGGTTTCTAGGGCCCAAAGGGTTTATAGGGCTTAGCATGCATAGGGCTTGTAGGGCTTACGATTTTGGGAATAGGGCCTGCATTGTTTGTCACAGGGTTTAGTTCGATGTTGTCAGAAAGGGTTCTTTACAGGTCTGTGGGCGCTACAGGAGCTTGATCATCCTACCTCCCAGTTTCCAGTCTACAGTTTCAAGGGGGTTTATATTTCAAACATGCCAGGGCCGCCATCCCTATCTTGAGCCCTGTGCCTTCAGATTTCACTAGCCCCCCCCCCCCCAGAAGTCGGAACCTTAAACCCTAAACCCTGAAACCGTGAACCCTACACCTCAAACCCGCACTCCTAGATGTTGTACTTGGAGGTTCATGGGACTTGGTAAGTACAGTTAAAAGTCAGTTAACTGGGGATATAACCGATTATAAGTATAGTTACCTTATCTATAACCCTAGTTACTGAGTACCATGAACCTTTAAGTAAACCCTGAACCCCATAAACTCGACAAGCTTTCATATGCACTGTCAGGCCAATAAACCCTGCGTCCTTAGCATGCGGAACATTAAACACTTAACCATGTAAACCCTGAGCTCTAGACTCTCTGCCTCTAGAATTCGGAACCCTATAATTGTAAGATCTAGTATAGCCTTACTATATTCCCAATAAGCTCGCCCTCAAAAGGCTAAACCCTAAACCCCTAAACCCCTAAACCCTAAACCCTAAGCCCTCAAAAGGCGAAACCCTGGTGAGGCAGCCGCTGAGGCGCTCCGATGATGCCTGCAGCTGCATTTGAACTTGGACAGGAGCCTCAGCTTAAGCCTTACCTGGACCCCGAATAACCTGCCTTTTTAGGGTTCCCTATATAAGTCCTTAAAAAGGTAGGATATTTAGGGTTAAAGTAGGCTTGAGGTTTGGTTTAGGGTTTCGGGTTTGCAGTTGGGTTTCGAGGTTTTAGCTGAATTTCAGGGCTTATAGGGCTCAGTTTTTCGGTGGTTGAGGGAGTGGACTTATTATTGGGAGGGTGGTTCATCAGTAGACCCTGCTAACAAGCCCCTCGGGGATCAGAGTTAAGTTAAGAGCATACCGAAAGCTTCATAGGTCTTGAGTCTTGGACCTGACAGTTAGTTTCCAAATCCTGATTCATGAACCAGGCTACGGCTAGGGTTTTTTGGGCATGTTTTCTTATAGATCCCTAGAAGATAGCGCGAGTAATTGTTCTGACCCCTGCATTAGGGTTTAGGACTAGGGTTTCGCGTGTGGTGGGCTTCCTGAATGTTAGGATCCGGGCCTAATATAGACCTTGTTATCAACGGAAGGACATTTATCACTCAGGGTCTACATGAACTAGTTGCCAAACGGAAGCTCTATGCCTCTTGCAACCTCATATGCAACCTAGCCCATAAACAAGCCACAAGTACCCACGATCCTCCGACGCTGATAGATGATCACTGTAGTTGCGGTTACCCGACTCCCCACTTAAAACCCGAAACTCTCAAACCCCTCAGATCCTAAAACCATCCTACACTCTTAGAGAGTACCCTTGATGCTCGAGGGTCTGGCGTTGCGTTCCCCATATAATCCGGTACAACAGGGGCCCGACAACGCACCGTAAATCGCGCCTAGACATAACGGTCCGAGATTTTTGCGGTATAAGCTCCAGACTTTCTAATGTTAGATTCTTGTGTTTGCATGCCCAGAGAAGCCAATACCCCTTAATTAAGGAATATACCTTAAATTATAGGGTCCTTAACATTATGATCTAAGGTATATTCCTTAATTAAGGGGTATTGGGATCTCTGGGTGGTCTTTCGGTCCCCTAGCCTACACAGGGACCCCGAGTTGCTTGAAGCTGGGAAGGCGCCTCCTGTTGCGTGAGGACGGCCAGGACCAGTGGTTGATCCTTTGGCGAAAGCAGCTGCCGAGGCTGGTGATAAGCGAGAATGGGTTTTTTTGGGGTTCCTTTAAAGGGGTCTTTGAAAGGGGATACTATAATGGATCTATAGTACTCTAATTTAGGGGCCTTGATAGCTAGATTAGGGATTTGGGACCCGTTATACTATAATCATAAGAAGGAGCCCCTCCAAAATAGTATTGGTAATTATTTAGGCCCTATATTAGGTCCAAGGTTCTTTGCTTTAGGGCGGCTTAGGGTTTAAAGCTTAAGGCTTTGGGCGTATATCTCCATATAAACCCTAAACACTAAGCCAAGGCGCTTTAGGGTTTTCAAATTGAGCGTTTGGGGCTTAAGGTTGACTTTGGGCAGGGGTCGGGAGCCTTAAGGACGAAATGAACCCTAAAAGGGTTTAATGTTCATATACCATATTGGGATTCATAGTATATGGGTATAGGGCCCCTACTTTTAAGGGTCATTTGGTCCTTCAGGAGTTCTGAGGAGGACAAGCGCAGATAGGGGACTTGCAATCTAGTTACTTCGCTGCCTCAGCCTCTAAGCCCCAAACTCTACAACTTGAAACCCCAACAGCCCCAGACTAATCCTCTACAACCACCAAGAACAGAAACAAATTGGAGAGCTCCGCTATATGATCTCTGTCCCTTGAACCTCCGAGTAAGCACCACATATGCAGCTATACCGCATGTGTGTGACGACGCCCCATCATAGGCAGCGCTTGACGCTATCGAGCATGCCTCGTCCACATCATGGACCAAGGAGTTGTTGTCGGTGTCGCATCTTCCGACCTTCTTGAGAAGATGGCTGAACAGACGTCCCCTGTCGACAATCTCCTTGTTGTAGATCGAGAACCTGAAAGAGATGTACGTCTCGTCAGCGTTGAGAGGCTTGTCCAGCTTCGAGCCGTCATCAATGATCGCCTTTTTCACACCTCGAAGCTGATGCTCGAAGTGTTGTCTGTATGGAGGTTCCATCGACATACCCGGCGGCATCTCACGAGGAGCTGGTATCGAAACAGCAACGATCTGATCATCTCCAGTTCCTTTGTTCTCGCGCTTGTACGGAAGCGAGTACGTGGCAGCTGCGATGTCACAACAAGTGTCGAACGTCCAGAAGCTTTGCAGCTGCCCCTCACCACGCCCTCTAACTAGGGCGCAGCACCTCAGATCACAACGACACTCCGGAGCCATGGCATCCAAAGCAGACCCAAAGAACAATTCCCTGGAGTTGAGCAGTATTCCCACAATCGCAGTAGGGTTTGGCATCTTGAGTAGGGACTTAGGGTATATGAGTCTGTTGCGAATTATCCGTGTGGTGCTTAGTAGGGAATGGGTGATTGGGTTATGAAGACTATTGTGGATTTTATAGGGACTACCATAGGGATCCATTCCCCCATACCCGACTACTGTAAACCCCATAAAGCTGGAAACCGGATTCAGGCCAAAGCTCTTAAGGATCGAGGCTATGAGGCTTCCAACTTTTGGGCTTTTACTAGACCCAAGAGTAACCTGGGAATAAAAAGGGTGCCCTTTTTGGTCTAAAGGGGCTTGTAAGGGAACCTGAACCCTACAAAAAGGGAATAAGGGCCTACTCCAGGTCCTAGTTTACTGTAAGAACAAGAACAGCTACGATCTGCCTCATGCCAAAGGCATCGGGCTCTCTGGGGAAAGGCCGCGGGATTCCCGGCTGAGGGACTCCAATGTCCCTTAATTAAGGAATACACTTTAACTTCAAATTATAGTAGGGTCCCTAATATGGTTGAAGGTATCTTCCTTGAATGAGGGATATGCTTCAACTTTAACTTATACTAGGGCACCGAATGTGGTTTAAGGTATATTCCGTGATTAATTAAGGGATATGGGAGTTTCCGAAAATTAGGGGTACCTTATTTGGGGTCTTTATAATAAGGATCCTACGATTTAGGGTACTATATTAGGGCCCCCCATTTTCGGAAACTCCCATATCGGAGTCTCTGAGGACCTTGAACAAACGACACTGTGCAAGCCCTGAGCCCGAAACTCCGCATCCAGGCACTGCAAGGCGCCCACACCTACTAAAGGGAACTCCAGAAAGTTGGAATATGGTTTCAGGGTAGGATACCTTATAATTTACCATAAAGGGTTTAGGATAATCATATTCCAACTTTCTGGCTCCTACTATATAGGGGTTTGGGGTATACTATACCAAAATTATGATAAGGAACACCCCAAAACAGCATAGGTAACTATTGATGATTAAGACCCCTACATTACACCTCGAACCCTAAACCCTTCGATCTCTAGACCCCCGCGCCGAAGCCCTGTTCCCTCGCCCAACTTCGCTGAGGTCTGGACCCAGACTGCCCTGAGAGACACAGCGAGGAAGCGGAGCCTCCGAAAGGGGAGCTACTAGGATACCCAGTCACCTAAGAATAAAAAGGCCTCTCTTTTTGGTATTGGGTAACTTTATAAGGAACCTAGGACTACAAAAAGGGAATAAGGGTACTACTGGGCATCCCAGTCATCTCTCAGATTTGGGAGTTTCCGAAAATAGGGGGACCCTAATATAGTACCTTAGGTAGTAGGATCCTTATTATAAGGACCCCAAAATAAGTTACCCCCCCCCCCCCCCCCCCAATTTTCGGAAACTCAGATATATGGCTCAGGGGGTGTTTCTAGTGCTGAGACGCTTCAGGGCTTTTCTTTGCCGGGAGCCCGCTCAACGTCTTATAGAATTCTCACGGGGAGGGCTGTTCATGCGGGACTCACTAGAACTTGGGGGGTCGGGGGACTTAGTAAGTAGTTAGTAAATAGACTTCTACGTACCCTAAAAGGGACCCTAATTGGGGTTATGGTACTTATAAGTCCTTAAAATAACCAGTTACTAAGTCCCCCGACCCTCCAAGCAATAGAAATCACTGGAAAGAGGCGAAAAGCCTTGTCACCTCTGTCACATTAAACCAACTTGCAAAAACGCTCGAACACAAACCTAACTTCAAGGACTGAGACTGAAGGGCATTAAAGGCAAATCCTCAATCCTAACTTGAAAACCCACAGCTTCGAAGCTGAAGCCCGAAATCCTAAGATCGAAACTAGAGACTCTCTTAAGGTTAAGGGTACAGTAAAGTTGGAAACCGGATCAAGGCCAAATAGTGCTGGGATTCCCTATACATTACTCTTAAGGATTGAGGCTATATAGGGTTTGCAACTTATGGGCTTCTACTGTAGAGGGTTCTGAGTGCCCTCACGGCTCTTCAAAAAAAAAAGCCTTCAAGCCGAATTCAAGCTGTGAACCCTAAACCCTAAACCCTAAACTGCACGCCTCAAGCCCCAAGCCCCGAGCCCTGAACATTTCCCCTCTGCGGCCTCAACCCTAAAAGCGATACAACCCAAGGCCCCCGGAACCTCGCCGAATCCGTGAATCCCTGATGGAAAAAAAGCCTACAAGACCTGAAGATCGTGCACTATCACCGGATGCAGTTTGCTCAAGCCGAACTTTAGTGCCCAATCCCACTCCCGCACGAAATATGAATTTAGAGCAAACTGTAGAAGGGACTGTGGGAAAGGTAAACCCTAGTTAGACCCTAAATTCAATTTAAAATAGTCCCTTAAACAGCCTTCAAAAGCCCTTTCCGAATGCCCTTGGCCACCTCTCAAGAACATCCTCGCAGCAACAGAATATTACCCTCAACAACCTCAACAACAAACCGTTGAGTGCAAACATAAAAGACCCCTGAAACAAGCACCTTAAACCCCCTTAAATCACAAACTTGCAAGACCCGTAGACCCTAACACCCCTAAATGTACAAACATAAAAACCCAAACAATCCTGGGCCAAACACCCTCGAAGAATACAGACATACACGATCGCCTGAACCCTGCACCTGAAAACCGTAACAAAGATATGGGAGTTTCCGAAAATAGGGGTACCTTATTTGGGGCTCCTTATAATCGGGATCCTACTATTTTGGGTACTATATTAAGGTCCCCTATTTCCGGAAAGTCCCATATCCCTGAACCAAACAAACACCCTCAAAGCACTGGCAGCCCCAGGCTAGAAGTCTTCGAATCCCTATGGAACCCTCATAGGAACCCTAAATCCTAAACCCTGTAGAGCCATTATATCATGAAAGGAACCACTAAACACCTAAATCCTGAAATCCTTACAGATCCCTTTGAAGGACCTGCTTGTAGTACCCATATTTAAACTTAGTTGCTGAGCTCATAAGCCCCAAAAAGTGTAAAGTGCATCCACTCAGCTTCTAGGGAAAGGAACACCAAACTCCAAAACCTACGCCCTACTATAGATCCCTTATAGTATCCCTTATAGACCTCTTTAAAGGAACGGACTGCTGAGCTCCAGGCAGCCCCGAGAGCCAGCGGCCCATTCGGACGGCCGGGAGTGGCTCCTGCCTGCCCAGAGACTCCAATATCCCTTAAGTAAGGAATATGCCTTAAATCATATTAGAGATCCTAAATTATAGTAGGATCTCTAATATGATTTAAGGTATATTGCTTAATTAAGGGATATTGGAGTCTCTGGGTGGCTTTCCCAGAGATCCCAATACCCCTTAATTAAGGAATATACCCTATAGGGTTAGTTTAAAGGGATCTATAGGGTTTAGGGCTTAGGGGATTCTAATACCCCTTGATTAAGGAATATACGTCAAATCATAATGTTAAGGCCCCTATAATTTAGGGTGTATTCCTTGATTAAGGGGTATTGGGTTCTCTGGGATACTTGCATGGCTGCATGGTAGCTGTTCCAAGCCTTGACCCGGAACTCGATGCCCTAAACCCTGATGAACTCTAAACCCTGAACCTTAGACGCTAAACACTACAAGCCCTCAACCTTAAACCCCAAGTAAACCCTTATAAGGCCTAAACCCTGCTCCCTGAACTCTCAACTCCCTGATCCCCTCTGACCTCAAGCTCTAAAACTGATTTTGCACTACCTGGAACTCATGAAGCTATGCTTGGAGGATCATGGGACTTAGTAAGTACAGTTATAAG